TTTTTTTTTTTTTTTTAAGCCCTGAGGATTGAACCTGGAGTCTCAAGTGCTCTAGCTGTGCCCTCAGCCCTGATGTTTTTGATCTGGTTTCGTTTGGTTTTTTTGGAGACAGGGTCTCATTACCTCTTGCCTCATCTGGCCTCGAACTCATGAATCTCTGATGTTTACCTCCTGAGTAGCTGGGATTACAGACAGAAGGCACTACACCCAGCAAGCCTCTTCAGATAAATTCCTTTTGAGTACAAGTTCTGTGGGCCTGTATCATTTGCATTGCAGGAATATGTAAGTGTGTCTTTCTAGATTTTTTTTTAGCAGGGTTTTGATTCAAGGTCTTGTCTTTGTTGGCAAGCACTCCACCACCTGAGCCATCCCCTCAGCCTTTTTTTGCTTTACTTATTTTTCAGATAGGGGCTGGAATTTGCACTTTTTGCCTGGGGCTGTCCTCAGATCCTTCTACCTTCACTTGCCAAGTAGCTGGGATTACAAGTATGTACATGTACCATGCATCTAGCCTGATCTTTGAGATGGGGTCTCACAAACTTTTTGGCCTGGGTGGCCTCAAACGTCAATCCTCCTACCTCTGTCTGTGCCTTTCTGTTAAAGTTAGAACCCAAGGTGCAGTTGAATTAGCTGACCAGCCCCATGTGGCCACACTGAGGGGCTCTGTTGGCCAGTCTTTTTCTTAGTTCCTGATTCTTTGTATGTGGGTTGTCCACTTTGTTGACATATACATGCTTTAGAGCTGGCTGAATTCCTCCCAACATTTCTAGCGTCCAGTGCTCTGCTGAAGGATCACAAACATGATGAAATAGTTTCCTCTGAAAACTGTACTGGGAAGGATAGTCACCTACAGGAGGGCCACACGAAAGGTCATGACAAACAAGCAGAACCCCTAGTGGGGAAGACCAATTGGCAAGTTTATTAATTCAAGAACAGTTTACCCTTCTGGAAACTTCCTGGAGGCAGAGACCCAATCTTTTGTTCCCGAGTACACCCACGGCTCCTGCCTTCTGTCAGAGCTGATGGCTTGCATCTTAGAGCTGAAATCTCAGCCTTGAGCCTTAGCATCTGGTCTCAGGTCTGTGAACACTGTGCATCGCAGACAGGCAAATAACAGACCCCGTCTTTTCACCTCTCTCCCTCCATACCCCAAACTTCTGTGCAAATGAGCCTCATGGGGCTGGAATGATCCACAGAGCCCCTGCATGTGTGGATGCCTGCCTCGCCTTTTGGCCTTACACTAAAGTATAAGTCATGCATTTCAAAGCCACGTGGACAGCGCTCGCTGCACTTCTGGATTCTCTGCCCCACATGCGTGAATAATCGGAAAGGTCTCTGTATGTATTTCCTGAGGGAAGAAGAATGCATTTGAGAAATGGAGGGTGAGATCAAAGGGTTTCTCACTCAGCCTGCAGGGACTTCAGATGGTTTCTTGAGCCCCACACCCTTCAACATAAACAGTGCATAGGACGGAGTTGTTTTGTGTTTGGGAGACTCCAGTACTGGTTATGAGACAGTCCCAAGAATGCTAAGCATTTCCAGTGTAGTGTGCCTAAGCCAGGGACATCAAAGATTCCGTTTGTGGCAGTGTGAGTACAGGGAAGAAGCCTTCATCCCAGTCCGCCTTTCTCCCCACCCGGTCATTGCTTTTATTATTCACACCAGCCAAACATAGGGAGGTCGCATGACCACAGTGAGTGTGACCCACATAGAGCACTTGCCTTGGAAAGGCTTTTTACACGCGAACTTTGTGGAATCCTTGGCCTTTGGCTCAACCAGGATGAGGGTGGGGTGTGTGTGTGGGAGTAGTGGGGACGGTCATGGTTAATTCAGAGCAACGTGTATTCAGGATGTCTCCATAAAACATGACCTCATCTCTTCCACCCGCTGGCTATCATTACACTGGTGGTCACTTTTGACTTAGAGGTTACAAAAATAATCCCTCTAGTTACTAATGTGGAAATTCATAGACAGCATATAGATTAATTTTACCTCCCCTCCCCCCACCAAGAGGCAAGAGGTAGGGGCTATTACTGACACTGTCTTTTCAATATCAGAACAACTCATGAATTCAAGGAAAAACAAAGCAAGTCAAAACAAAATAAAACAAAACCCATGCTAGATCAGTTGGGCACTGATTAGATTAAATAGCTGGGGAGAGCTCCCCCCCTTTTCTAATAATTGCAGTTTTTCATCCTAATTAAACAGTCACATTCTTATCAGCAAGAAGACAAATTCATTAATTTAACAAAGATTTGTTAAGCACCTACTATGTCTTGTAACTTGTCACTGATGAAGTTTCACAATGCAGGACACCTGAGAAGTTAGTAAATTAACAAGACAATTTAAAGGGGTATGAGGTCATGAAGGGTATAAGATGACCTGATGCAATGGAGGGCCTGAGGCTTCTGTCTACAAATGTTAATCCAGTTAAAATCAATGCATGCATTAAAAGATATTACCTAGCTGGGAAAAATAGCTGGTTACTAAGAAAAAGCCATTTCTTCGTGGGATTGTTGGAACTTTTGGAGGGACCAGCTCTTAGATGAAAAGTTTTCCCTGTCCATGAACCACTCCCTCCTCTCACAGGGGGAAGTCCAGCCAAGCAGACCACCTGGGAAGGTGGGCACCGGGTCCCAGCACTGGCTTACTGGCCTGGCAGAGTTCCAGCCAATGTCACCAGCACCGCTCTGTTAAGGTATGAAACCCAAATGACCTTGAGAGGTGGGGGTTTAGAGCCCAACAGTGGTCTGTTCTGCACTTCTTGGCAGGGTATTCCAGACACTTCTGAAACTGATGGTGGCAGCTAATTCGTGTACAGTGGGATTCAGCCATCCCTTGGGGAAAATGCTCCAGAGAAGGGGGGAGGGGGTTGGTTCACATGCTTCAGCCTGGGGTCTTGATTGTGTGTGCTGGAGAGAAAAAGGCAACTGTCTTATCTCCCTTCTGAGCCTGGGTCAAGGTGACAATGGAGGAGATGAGTCACTTAGATACTAATCAGTCCATCCTGGTGTTAGGGTAGATGTCCTACCACTGGCTGTGAGAAGTGAGCATATAACTAACAATCAGATGACTCCAAGAAAGGAATGTAGAGATCCATCTATCTAGGAGGACAGGGAGAAGGCAGGTGGCCCTCCTGGGCCACAGGGAAAGAATTAATCCTTAGGTAAGGACATTTTTCCTGCCTGGGACAATGGGGCTTCTACAGTGAAGCAAGTCTCTGGGGACTTCTCTTATCAGAAGGACACAGCACATGTGCTATCTTACCGCACTACTAAGGCCATGAGGCCAATTTCTTGGCAGAGAGAACTTGGCTGTGATGTGTCTGTTCAAAGGCAATGCCATACTGGCAAGAAGCCATGGCTTAAAATGGGGACTTCTCACCAGTTCAGATAGGCACTTCCTTCCCGTGGTTCTACCCTGAGTTCACCAAGAAGAGGGACTCTCTGGAGAAGCCAGGCTTTGGTCCTGTGCTCTGAGGGTTTGTCTGGCAGGAAGAACAGCACCGAGTAAAGGAAAACAAGTGTCACTGGCACTCTCCAGCACTTCAGATCCAGTGAAAAGGAAGGGCAGAGGCTCAAGCCTGGGCAAGACAGGGTAAACAGCCCTGATCGCCAAAGTAGTGGGAGGTAGGCTCAACCCCTCACAGCCTGGGGGGCCCTGAGGAATTCTGGGTTGACCCTGTATTATCAGGACAGGGCAGCATACTGTCTGTGGGTGCAAGCAGGTGTGACAACAACGAAGCAGCCTGGAATCTGTGATGTTAGGCTGACTGGGATGAAGGCCAAGAGGGTTGCCTTTTATAGGGCTGATTTGAGTATAATCAGAGTACTTATTAAAGGGCAGGGTCAAGTGTGCACAGGCTGGGCTGCACATGCACAAATAACTGGGCAGTCTCTCCACTTACAGCACTGAAACTCAACAGTGGCTTCTCATTGGAGGATGGTGTTGGAACCTGTTATCACTCACCACACCATGATTAAACTGCGTCACCTCATCGGTAATTGTCCTGGGAGAGGACACCTGACCAAAGGGGTAGTTTGGTGACCAAAGGAAGTGAGTTCCTGGTACAAAGTGGCATTTGTTCGAGGAGCTGTAGATTTTTCCAGAAGAAAACTAATAGGCCATATCAGCCCCTCTTGGGATATTTTTGGTGTTGAATTAGTTCAGATTGCAACTGGACAGTTTTGCCTCTATGGATTCACATCCTGCTAGATTTCCATGGGAATCCAAAGTGGGTGGAGCTTCATCCTGCCCTTTTTTATGACCTCCTCATGTGGTTCTAAGGACAATGAGGTTGTCATCCATAGTCAAGGAGCTGGTGCTATACTTCTTGTTCTTGGGAGTCCAGTGCTTATCACCTGTTCTAGTACTTATTCTCCCCGAGGGCAGAGATCTTCTTCCAGGTAGAGATAATGTTCTTATGACCAAAGTCCCTTAAGCCTATATTGCAATGCACCAAGGAACGATGGGAATAATCCCTTGAGAATAGTCAAGTTGCTATAAATCCTCACATGAATACAGAAGAGAGAAAGAGTGTGTTGGGGGGAGGGGTCTACATGAATGGTTATATCTCTTTCAGAGATAACCAACGTTAATATTATGATGCTGCCTAGAGGATATAGTAAGATTACAGAAAGGTTTTGCACAAATCTGTCCCCAAAGCCTGAGGATACAAAATCCATCACTTAACAAATATATGTCGTTGTGTTCAACTATGGATCAAGCATCGCTCCAGGGACTGGCGGGGGGTCGGGTGGGGGGTGGGTATAGTAATGAGTGAATCAGACCAAAAGTTCCTGATTTGGAGGAGCTAATTTACCTGAAGGGAAGGGGGGCAGGCAACACATGGGACAAAGGCTGGACAGTTTTAGCCTACAAGCTGTACTGCAGTTTCTCAAACTGGCACTGTTAACATGTTGAGGGGGGCTGTCCTGTGCACTATATGATGTTTAGTAGCATCCTGGCTCCCCCTACATACAACAAGTTGTGATAAACAAAATATCTCCAGACAGTGTCAACTATTACCTGGAAGGACAGACAGATGCTGGTTGAGAAGCACAGCTTTCAGGTAATTTCCTAACCCTATGCAAGAAGGTGAAGTGTCTACTCTGCACCTACTGGGAGCTCTCCATCCCTATTCAGAACGGAGGACCAATTTCCCTGAGGATGGTAGGCAAATACAGATGGCCAGAATGGTATAAAGAATGGCACAGAAAAAAGCTGTTTAGCCAGGCGAGCAGACCCCTGGGCTACTCTGGGCTCTTTTTGGATGCCTGAAAGACAACCAGTTCTGTAGAAGGGGTGTCATCGGCACAGAACTGAGTCTCAAAAGTAGAAGCTGCAAAGACATGTCCATGTCACTGTTCTGTGGTTCAGGTGTCATCCCCTGGGCAGTGCCTAGCCACACGCTTTTTCCTCACACCTTTTTCCTCAGCAGGCACAGCTTGGATTCCAGGGGTCAGAGCCCTTCTTCACCATCCTCACCTCTGTCCAATCTTTATTCCCAGGTTTCTTTGGCAACTCTTTGGATAACAGCATAAATGCAAGCAGGGCATGCTGTTGCAAGCCTGTATCCCAGCTATATGGGAGGCTGAGGCAGGGGAATCACTTGAACCCAGACAATACAGCAGGACCCCCAGCCTCAAAAAAAGTAGAAAAAAAAAAAGACATAAACATGCAGCATTTCTAAGATTGGGCTTGCCAGAGCAATACAAAGGAAAGGAAAGAAGAGTTTTTAAAATTCCAAAGAAACCTTAAATTTTTAGGTGCAACAAAATGGTTTACTGTAGTCTATTTATATATCCATCTTTACATCAATGCAGTTATAAAATATAATTTGAAATTTTGGGGGAGTAGTGAAGCTTGAATTCAGGGTCTCATACTTACAAGGCAAGTGCTTTACTACTTGAGTCACACCTCCAGCCCTTTTTTGCTTTAGTTATTTTTCAGAGAGGATCTCGAGATTTCACCTGGGGCTGGCCTTAGACCTTGATCCTCCGACCTATGCCTCCCTTATAGCTGGGGTTACAGGAGGGCCCATGAAGCAAAAGTGCTCACCCAGTTCCCACGAAAAGTCAGAAAAACACTGAAATTAGCAACTTGAAAAGTGCAGGGCTTTTTTGTTTCTGCTTTGTTTTGTCTGTTCTCTTTCTCCAAGGTTTCAAAGATTCCCAGGATTAATTTCTTCGGTGAGGTTTGAGATTTGGAGTAGCTGAGGTACCACTGGGAGCCTTTGTTAGGACGAATGAGTTCCTGCAGGCTGGGGACTCTACCCTGGGATGGTTTAAGAGCTTTGTGTTCCTGGGGCTAACTTCAGGGGCTTGGCATTCTCCATTCCTTGGGGAAAGACCTTTGGATAGGCCGACCTTGCCAATGCTAGACTGGGTTGCCTTGTGCCGTGTGAGTCAACAGACCTGTTTCTTGTGGATGAAGGTTTTCTTAGTTACCTCTGAGGTTCCTGCCAGACTCTGAAACACTAGGATTCTGTGAACATTAGGTTTGGTGCTATATAATTAGGGTGATAAATCTTATGATACAGAGGAAAACTAAGATGGAAAAAGAAAGTATACATTACCAAAGTAATGCAGATTCGGTGTTTCTTTTGCTTACTGATTTGACCCATCTGTGACACTTTCTCTGAAAATGGAAAAAGAGAGCATACAATCAAAACCTAATGTGGATCCTGTTTCTTTTGCTCAGTGATTTGACTCATTTTGACATGCTGAGCTCACTTAGGGGACAATTTAGAGAACACTCGAGTAAACAGCCCCAAACCATCTTAGTCTTTTTAGCTAGCAGTGCAGTCCTCTGGGCTTCCCCGTTAGTGGCAGGAACCTTGGACTCTGGACAGGTTTCTGGACCGTTCTGTACTCTGTGAGTGCTGACTCTGCATGCCTTGACTGGGCACCAGTGTGGGATGCTAGTTCTTGGAGCACATATCTCAAGAGATAAGCCACCAGCTTCGTGGACTGTGAAAGCTGCAGGCAAAATAGAAACACTCTGTACTTTAGTCAACTCAGAGATTCTGCCTGGAGTTGTAGGCAGAGCCCTGGAGAAGAGAAGGAAGTAGGCGGCCGGCAGGAGCATGGCAGCTCCTTTCTGTAGCCTCCTTGGAGGGAGAGCCCCTCCCCAGACTTCAGGGTGTGAAAGAGGGGAGGTGTAGCCCTTGAGGCCTCTTTATTCATGAGGCTGAATTCTGCTGCTGTGCCCAGACTTTGGGGTACCAGGGCCCCTTTTTTGGGGAAGTGTAGCCTGAGAAAGATTTCATATTGACCTAGCTTTGGATAAGCATCTCTGTTGAAAAGGCAGTCTCTCTGTTCTTGCTGAAGAGTTTTTTCCAATGTGAACACAGCGGGCTGGAAGGAGATGTGCTGTGCAGTAGAGTTAAATTACACCATGTGACCTAAAAGAAAATCACTTTAACAAAACTCACCAAAATGTTAACAATGGCTGTCTTTGGGTGGTGATGGACTGTGTGTATTTTGTTCTCTTTTATATTTCTGGATGTTCAAATTACTTGTCTACTATAAAAATTCACTATTTTGTAATGGACAAAATGAGCTGGAATAACAGAGGTGGAATGTCTCACATATAATGGGTAAAGTTTCAAATATTCTGTCTAAAGACTAAATATTTATGAGACTGGGGCTTGTCAATGGAAAATCAAGTGAGTACTCGCTTATAAACATATGTCATACACAGTTCCTGCTAATCCAATGTCTGTGGCCTCGTTGGTGACAGGTAGAACCCCTAAGTTTTTAAGATAGTTTCATGAGGTGCACCGTGAGTAATTACAGCACAAATATCCAGTAAGCACTTTCTATTATATCTTTTTTTTTAATTTTTTGGCAGCACTGGGGTTTGAACTCAGAGCCTCACGCTTGCTAGGAGGTGCTCTTACAGCTTGAGCCACCCTGCCAGCCCCCAGTATGCACTTTCTGATTGCCAGGCCATCTTCTCGGTACCCTACCTATGTGTTTTACCCAGACAACCACTCTTCCAGGCAGGCTCTGTTATTAAAACACCCATTTTACAGAACAGGAAACTGAGGCATTGAGAAGCCAGCTAGGTGGCAGAAGTGGGATTTGAGCCCAGGCAATACCTGATTGCAGAGCCTAGATGCTGAAACGCCACGCTTACAGCAGAAATCAAAGTGGAACCTGAAGGACAAACAGGCAGGTAGAGAACCTGGGTCAAAGGGAAGGCTTCTAGTGTTTGCTCTAGGCTGGCTCAGGTGGGTTTTGATCACAGCAAAGCCTGGGAAAGAGTCCAAAGAGCTGGGGCCAACTCTGTCTTGTTCTTTCTGCAGTGTGCTGGACATTTTCCCTACTGTGGTAGCCCTGGCAGGAGCCAGCTTACCCCAAGGTCGACACTTTGATGGACTGGATGCCTCTGAGGTGCTCTTGGGCGGGTCACAGGTGGGGCACAGGGTAAGTGGAAGAAGAATGTGCCTGGACCCAGGCTCTGCAGGAGCCTGGGCTGTGCCTCACATCCTGAGCAAACCGCCTTTGCACAAACCTAAGCACCTCAGAAGATGCATGCGAGAAGCCCAAGGGATGAATCCTTTGAGATGAACCTCTGTCCACCCCCATCCCCACCCCATGAGTCCAGCTCGTCAGTCCAGATCTGTATTTAACAATTTGGCTTAGGGTAGAGAGACTTGAGTTGCTTAATCTCTCTAATGATGTTATTTTTCTGCATGTATTTAATTTTCTGATACAGCTTAGGTGCCTGGCCTATTTTTGTTGGGCAAAAATATCTGACTGGTGACTGTGACTTGTTTACTGTGGGGCTCCCCACAGGAACAGAAGCCTCCTGAGGGCAAGGATCCCATCTGTGGGGTTCATCTCCAAGTTCTCAGTGCACCTAACAGTGTCTGCACCCAGCCTGTACTCTATCCATGCAAAGTAGGTGAACAAATGCATGAATGAACAAATGACATCCCTCTTGGACAGCAGGACCAACCAGGTCTTATTCTCCTGACATTTCCCAGCTCCGAAGGGTTCAGTACACACTCTGCAGACTGAAGAGCGTGGCAATGGCTTTTGGCTTCTTCTTCCCAGTGTCTGCTCCTCAGTGTACTACGAAGCACTCCATAGCAACCAGGAAATGTCAGTCTTGATGACCTTTCCCTGTCATTTCCATGTGTTTTCCTTTCCTTGAAAGGAAGAGGAAGTGGGAGGAGGGAAGGAGGCCAGAGGAGCTCAGAGTCCCTTGCGTAAGGCCTGGTTAGCTCCTGGCTTCCCAGTTAGGTCCACACTTCAAAGGGTTTATTTATGTCTTTGAGGGACACATGGAAGTGACTCAGATGTGCTTAAGTGCACTGTGCCAGGTGGGCATTGAAGCTGTTTTCCCCTCCCAGCCTCCTGCCAATCAGAACATGGGGCTTCAATAGGCCCTCGTACTTCTGTGCACATTCATACACCTCTGGGCTTGTCAGATTAGGCCTGAAAGTCCTCTGAAGACATCTTGAGTCTCCGCACAATGACTGGCCGGCAGAACCCCCCAGGCCCAGCCCTTCCCCGAGCAGGAAGGTGGTTTACGCCTTAGGCCGGAAGTCAGCAGTGTGTGACCCTGGGGGGTATGCAAGACGTCAGGGAGAGGTGCTTCTGAGTGTTTATTGCCATGGCTACTCACAGAATAACTGCGGTCACCAGGAAGTGCTTCAAGGCCTGTGGTCTTCTTGACGTTGGCCGTCCTCTGTGCATGCCAACACCTTTGCGTGCTCACTTCCTTTCCCAGACCCAGGAGCTCTCACTCTCTTCCTCCAGACAAGCAGACTCATGGAGTCCCATCCTAGCTAGAGCCCACCAGGGTTAGGCCCTGGAACCAGGTGGGAGAAGCCGATACAAGCCTAGACATCACAGGGGACCCATGCTGTGCAGTTGTGCAGCTGGAGTGGGGGCTGATTTGCTCCCTAACCATGCGTGTGGCCTTGAGAGAAGCAGCCAGCTGTCAGGAAGCTGCTGATGCTGTCTTCAAGGGCAGCAGAACAGCGGTGACGGCACCTGTGGGCCACACCCAGCCTCACAAAGCAACACGTTCTTTGTGGTTAGAGAAGAGATTGGAGTTTGAAGACAACATCAATAGGTGCTGGTCCAGAATTTCGGCTTGTTCTTCTCTGGTCAGCCTCTCTATTGAAGCGAAGAAATAAGATTAAAGAGACTAAGTTCTCTTGAATTTGGAATAGCTTTGGCAGGGGACAACTGCAGGTAAAAATGAATGGTTTTACGTACACACGTCCATGTTTATATACATACATCTATATATGTGTATAGCATGTATAGATATATACATATCTATCTTTTTTTGCAGTACTGGGGTTTGAACTCAGGGCCTACACCTTGAGCCACTTCACCAGTCCTTTTTTGCAATGAGTTTTTTTCTAGATAGGGTCTCATGAACTATTTGCTTGGGCTGGCTTTGAACCATGATCCTCCTGATCTCTGCCTCCTGAGTAGCTAGGATTACAGACATGAGCCACCAGCTCCCAGATAAATATATGCATTTCTTAATAAACAATTTGTATTTGCCCACAGATATGTCCTAAGCTTACAAAGATTCTAGTATGGGTTGGTTTAGAAAACCATTCCAGTTTTTAGAAGCTCAAAACAATATGCAGATACTTCTCAGCAATTGGGTTCTTCCTTGTATTGCAAGTATAACCAAGGCCTGAAGAGATCAAAAACGACCCAGGGCCACATACCCTTGGCCAACAATGGGCTACCAGTGTTCATACCCTTGGACTCATAACCTTTTTCATCCCTCTGGAGGGGTACCTCACGTTTATGATGTTTAAAACCCACGGCAGCTGACATCTTAGTGTATATTCAGCCTCTCCATTCTGATCTTGACAGGCCTGTGCCTAGGCAGGGAGGACAACCTCCAGGACAGAGCTAACTGGGGAGGGGTGCATATACCAGAACTCAATGTCCCACTTAGTGCTTTCCTGACTCCCAGATGGCAGCTGGAGGTGGTAATGTCACCATTGATCAAGTAACATCTGTCATGACCAGGTCCAAAATCTTCACGAAGAAGATTTTCCTAACAGCTCAACAGTCTGTGGCTACTGTGAGCCGTAAAATGCTTGGTACAACCCTGAGGCCATGCACTGAAGATGCAGAAGCCAGGTGTTTAGTCTCTGGAACACCCATTGCTTCTCTTAGGGAGGCCTCTAGTGGTGGAAGACATCACTTGGAGTAACTGGCAAAGGATTGACCACTTTACACTCTTTTGTAGACTTTGGGCTGTGCACCCCTGCCTGATTCCCACCTGCTGGGGATGCTACATAGGTCTCCAGGATTCAGTGTACAGTGACACCCCACATAATTAAAAAAAAAGAAAAGAAAATGTAATAAAGCAAGCACACACACAGGGAAGAAAGGCAACCAAGAAGGCTCAACAAGTTTGCAGAAGATAAAGTAGTCTTTGAAATGTGGACCAGGCATCTGGACAGGAAATCTCTTCAGCTCCATCCAGGGGCAGTCTTACCAACCTTCTTCCTGTGCTGATGTAAACACGAAAGCCATAATCAGTCTGCTCAAAGGGAAAAAATGTGTATGTTAGTTCCTCAAAATCCATCCACATTTCTGAGAAGGAGCCCTCCCACAATTTTGCTTCCCTTTGGATTTTGGAAGTCACCTCTCTTAGTACCACACACACATTCTGCTTATGCAGCCCACCCTTATGGAGTTTCTAGTATGGAAACCCAAATGATATTCATGGTCTGAAGTGGCCAACCTTGACACCCATCTTCTGGAGATCTGATCACATCGTAGATCACTTGACAATAGGCTGTCCAAATCTCTTCTTCTGTGTGTCAAGGAAACAAAGCAGTGTCCTGTGGTGAGAGGCATGGCTTTCTGCAGGGATGGAAGAAGTGAGGTTTGCTTTTATGACTTCTTTTCCTGCTTGGAAGGAGAATGTGGGTGTTTGCAAGGTTGACATGGGAAAGAAGAGAAGCAGAAGGTGTGTGTGTGGGGGGAGGGGCAGAGTTGCCTGGGGTGCCATCCTCTCAGGGCTCTGAAACTTGGGGGGCAGCTGTTCACTCCTCCAACAGATGTTTCTGATTTTTTTTTCAAGCCCCATGGAAACTTTGAATCACATAAGCGCCTTTCCAGTGATATATACAGTCATGATTCATACTAGGACAGTCTCATGCTTCCAGCCCAAATCCACCACCTACCAAGGATGCTGGCCTTTTATTTTCTACCAAATCCTTCCCTTGGGAACTGTGAATTAGGTGTTTCCGGTTTTTAAGGGTAATTCTTTCATCTATGACTGGATGAGTCATAGATATGCAAGTATAGCAATACTGAGTCATAGGTCTATGTGCAGGCTAGGCTGTAGGCTGGGGGTATAGATCAGTGGTAAAGTGCATGCCTAGCATGCACAAGTCTTTGGGTTCAAACCCCAGCACCACAAAAAAAAAAAATCTCTCTTTCAAGGGAAAAATCAAGTACTTCTTATGTCATCTTTGTTTAAGGGAGAGTTGAAAAATTGACTTGAGGCTGAAGGAGCCCCCTGGAGATATCTGTAAAACGTGCAAGTCCTAGGCTCTTTCTGTACCTGAGGGGTGGGCTCAGGTGGCCTCCTGTGTGTGCCCACAGGGGACCTTGCCTGGAGAAGGACCCCAAGGTTGGTTTGAAGCTCCGTTGTGGCTGTCTTGAAAAAAAAAAAATATTTGTGAAAGAAGTGTCACTGATTCTCATTTTGCACCTGACCCAGAACAGGGGTACTAGGCCTAGAAATCTGGCTTACTTGGTGACACCTTTCACTGACTGGTCCAGAGTTGTAATCCACTCCTCTTAAGCAAGTAGAAAAATTAAAATTCCACAGAAACTCCAGGGAGTTAGCCAGGGTTAGATAGGCCTATGTGTCACAAGTGTTTAGAGACAGGGGTGGGGTATGTTTGGGGGAGGCTGGGGAGGGTAGACCGTGACAAAGACAGCGATGACTCCAGGGAGCAGCTGGCTGGGTTTTCTTATGCACAGTCCCTGCTGCCTTTCTCAGGTGCTGTTCCACCCCAACAGTGGAGCAGCTGGGGAGTTCGGAGCCCTGCAAAGTGTCCGCCTGGAGTGTTACAAGGCCTTCTACGTCACAGGTGAGTGGGGGTTCTCAGCCCTGCCTCCCCATGCACACCTGGGTGGGAGTTCTTGGCCTCTCATTGAGGCCTCCAGGAGTGAGTGTGGCTGCCTTTCTTGGAGAAGCTCAATTTACCCCAAACTCAAGCTGTCTGGATCCATCAATTCAAAAACAAGGCCTTTCTCTGGCAACCTTGGAGCTCTAGGCATTCCCATTTAGCTTCTTTTGACAAGGAAAATGTTCCTTGCTCCATTTTTAGGCTTTAAATGCCAGGCTGGCAAGCCTAGAGATGAAACCAGTGTTTTAGGCCCTAGGCCCAAACTCCGGAGGTTCCACATGAACTTTTGATTTAAATAGACACTGAATTGAGGGCAGGGAAGAGAGGTGTGCATAATTATTAAAAAGTCCTGGTACAGGTGTGTTCTGGTAGGTCATTATTTCAGTCCTTATTCCCAAAAAGGGCTCCTGGGAAGTTCTTATTGTTGTTGTCTGGTGGGTGGTCTGCCTTGAGAGCTTGTTTGGAGGTTCTAGCAGAGGACACAGCTGTTTGTATACCTTGACTGAAGAGTGATCTTCCTCTAGCAGGGATGGCCGTCCTCTTCGACCGAACTGAGCAGGCAGCTTCAGGAGGGACACACATGGAGCAGTGAGGGAGGAAGGGGACACTAGCCTAGCCAGCCAGATCAGCCAAATCAACCCTGGCGATCATTGGGGTGACAGATGTCACAGCCAGATTGCCCTCATATCTGGGTGGTCTGTCTTGTTTCTTTCCTTGGGGGAGGTTTTTTCAATCCCTTCTTGCAAACATGTTATTGACAAATCCTGTCCTTCCTAGATTCAAGGCGGCTATAGGAGAAAATGGCTTAAAACCAAGGTCACAGATAAAAAGAAAATGGAAGTAGGGATGCCAAGCTTTCTTCCTGCTTTTAGTCAACTTGTGGGTCCAAGTAAGGAGTCAGTACTCTTCAGCAAAAGAAGCTTTTAACAACCTGTTACAGAGACATTTTAAAGTGTTGGCCAGGCCAGGTGACTCAGGTCTGTAATCCCTGCAAAGGTAGAGATAGGGACGATTGTGGTTTGAGACCAGCCTGGGCAAAAAGTTAGTGAGACCTCACCTCAATCAATAAAACCAGGTGTGGTGTGTGCACCTGTCATCCCAACTACGCAGGAGGTCGTAGGTAGGAGGATCACAGTCCAAAGCCAGCCCTGGGAAAAAACGAGAGCCTAACTGAAAAAGAAAGTAAAAAAGTGTATAATGCCTGCTCAGCAAGCTTAAGGCATGGAGCTCAAACACCAGTACCACCAAAAAGAAAAGATAAGGTGTCATTTTCTTGACAATATTCTGTCTAAGAAAATAAACTTGAGAGACCCGCCTATTTAGTAAACTGACAGAAGTCTCTCTGAGTCTTGGTTCATGCTGTGCTATGGCAGTGCTGGGGTTTGAACTCAGGGCCTCACGCTTGCCAGGCAGGCGCTCTACCACTTGAGCCACTCCGCCAGCTCTTTTTTGTTTTGGGTATTTTTGAGATAGGGTCTCATGAACTATTTGCCCAAGCTGGCCTTGAAGAGTTATCCTCCTGATCTCTGCCTCCCAAGTAGCTAGGATTACAGGATGAGCCACCTGTACCTGGCTTCTGTGACCATCTTAAATGTATATCCTAGAAATATCGTCTGGGAACAAGATGGTTCTCAAGAGTCTTCTGGTGTCTTCTTACTGCAGGCTGAATTTAGACACTCAGGCTTGGGTTCCTCTACCTGTCCAGGCTTATTTCATCAAGCATAAGTAAACTAAGCCTTCATAAAAAAATCTATCCATCTCATCTTTGAAGGCCCCAGACCAAATGCCGCCTCAATCATCAAACTCCCTGGTATCTTTCTAGCTGAGCAGGATGGAGAACCAGGACACCTATCACATTCCACCACATGGGCCAGACATCCTATTTCCTCTATTACTTTTAATGTCTCTAAACTCAGAGAGGACTCTCAGAACAGTGTGCCACTTGTGGCTCAGTGGTAGGGCGCTGGCCTAGTCTTTGTAAGACCCTAGGTTCAATCCCCAGTACTGACAAAAAAATCTAAACTCAGAACGCTTTAGGCTTTCGGTCTTTAAAATGGTTTTGAAGTGCAGTCTGATATCTTTTTTCAGTAGAAACCCAAACATATTTTAATGAATGAATGACAAACAAAAAAGAAAACAAAGAAAATCTGGGACCTGATGCAGATTCCAATTTGATTTTGTTATTTAATATTGCAGATTTTCAAAGAATTATATAATAAAAAACAAAATTTATCTTCAAGGAGTGTAAATTTTCTTTTTTCCCAAAAGAAAATGTGGCACAAAAGCAAAACAAGTCCTTTGAGTTCATAGCTCAAGGGATTATTAAAAATGTCACAAGAATCTTTGATTCTCTAAAACTTAAAACAAAGCAGTGAAATATTTGCTGTGGTTTCAGCTGAGATGCTCCTAGCTCCGAGGCCTTACATTACATTATCTAAGAGGTGTGGGACCTCCAGGCTGAGTTAACTTCACAAGTAATAACCCTGCCAGAAAGCCCTTGGAGCCACAGTATTGGAGCTGTGAGTGTTGCTGTGAAGTAGTAGAACTGTTTAAAGCGGTCTCAGTAAGACAGGAACTACAGTACCCAGGGGAGGACTGTTCTTCCAGGAGAGCCGGGGCGGGGTGCGTTGACTTCTCACACCACATGAAAACCGCGAATAGGGCGAGGCTTCGTTATGCTCTGGTTTCTCCCCTCCGCTCTTTTAAAATTTGCATCCTAATTACTTAAAACTGCTTTTGGATAAGCTAGATGAATTAACGTCTACTACACTAGTTTAGGGAACAGTGTGCTCTTTGATGGGGATATGATGTTATGAACTTGGAGTGGCATTAAAAGATAACCAGTCTGTTTTGGAGTGTGGCCTAGAACTAGGGCATCTCATTGGTTTTCCTTTTTTTCAAAGTAATTAAAGCAAAATTTTCATACAGTGAGACACAGATCTCAGTGGGCATACTTGCAGATGTACTGTCTAATGTTGTGAGTTGCTGTTAGACATATGAAGTGTTCGTGTGTTGACAGCGAGGTCCCTGACACTAACAGTGTTCAGAGGTGGGACCTTTAAAACATGATTGAATTACGAGGACACTAACTTCATCACTGGATTAACTCCTTGATGGGTTTATAGCTGAATGCTCTTAGGAGGCAAGGCCTTGTTGGAGGAAGGAGGTCACCTGGGGTGTGCCTTTGAAAGCTGTATCTTGGCCCCTGGACCCTTCCCCCTCCACTTCCTTCCTGGCTGCCACAAGGAGCCATGTCTTTCTGCCATGATGTTTTTGCTTTGCTACAGTCCTAAATGCAGTGGAGCCAGCTGACCATGGACTGAACTATCTAAAACTGTGAGCCAAAATAAATCTTTCCTGGCTTAAGTTGTTTATCTCAGGTATTTTGTCACAGCCCTGAAAAGCTAACTAACATATTACATTGACTAATTTTCAGTTGTTAAGCCAACTTTGTATTCCTGGCTAAACTCCACTTACTTATGATGTCTTATTCTTCTTATATATCTTGTTGGATTTGTTACTTAGACTTTGCTTATAATTTTCTTTTCTTAAGGTTTGATATTAGGGTTTTGCTGGTCACCTGAGATGAGTTTGGAAGTATTCCCTTCTCTTCTGTTTTTATTTTTATAAGATGTGTCTTATTTCTTTCACATTTGATTGAATTCACCCATGAAACTATTGGATGACTCCAATGTTGCAAAAATTCTGCCCTATGTTTTCTTCTCAGAGTTTTTGTTGTCTTATGTGTTATATTTAGGTCTTTGATTCATTCTTTTACATGTGGATATCCAGTTTTCCTAGCACCATTTGTTGAAAACTACCCTTTCTCTTACTTTTCCTTCAATAGCGCTTAAGATCAAACACATCTTACAGAAATTTTGTTAGATTTATACCTAAGTATTTTATTTTGGGGGGATGCTGATGTAAATGGTATTGTGGTTATTTATTTATTTATTTTATCTGGCAGTCATAGAGTTTGATCTCAGGGCCTCACACTTACTAGATGAGTGATCTATCACTTGAGCCATGCTACCAGCCTTTTTTCTTTTCTTTTGCTTTAGTTATTTTCTGATAGAGTCTGTGGTTTCTTTTGCCTGGGGCTGGCCTCAGACTGGGATCCCATATCTCTGGTCTCCCTTTTGTAGCTGGGATCACAGGTGACCCATGTTCAGCTTGTTAGTTAACTCACTGGCTTTTTTGCCTGGAACTTTGATCTTCTGAGTACCACCTGGGAGTGAGTAGCTGGGATTACAGGTATGAGCCTGTGCCTGCCTTTGCTATTATGTTTTTAATTTCAAATTCCATTTCTTCTTTGCCTATACATAAGAAAGAGACTGACTTTTGGGTGTTAGCCTCATTATCCTGTAACTTATTATTAGTTTATTAGGTACAGGATCTTTTCCATTGATTCTTTCTGATTTTATACATAGATGGTTCTGTCATCTGTGAGTGAAGTTTTATTTCTTGCTTTCCGGTCCATATGCATTTTATTGCCTTTCCTTTTTAAAATTTATTCATATGTGAATACATTGTTTGGGTCATTTCTCCCCCCTGCCCCCCACTCCCTTCCCCCCACCCCCTTGCTTCTAGGCAGAACCTGTTCTGCCCTCTTCTCCAATTTTGCTGAAGAGAAGACAGAAGCAATAATAAGCAAGATACAGTGTTTTTCCTAGATTGAGATAAAGATAGTTATACAGAGAGATTCCTAGCATTGCTTCCATGCACTTATGTATTACAACCTGAATTGGTTCATCTCTACCTGACCTCTTCACTACTTCCCGGTCTCCATCCCATATTGACCTCTGTCATTTTAAGGTTACTGTATTGGCCCCTCTACAGTGGGGACATCAAACACTTCCAAGTTTCGGGTTTCCTGTCATTCCCTATTCCTCCTGTGTGTGCTCTCCCCTTAGCGTGTGACCCATGTCCAGTAGTGTTACTGCATTTGTTTTAGCTCTAAAGTCTGCATGTGAGGGAGAACATACAATTTTTGGCCTTCTGTGCCTGGCTAAGTTTGCTTAAGATGATGTTCTCCAGTTCCATCCATTTACTTGCTAATGACAAGATTTCATTCTTCTTCATGGCTGAGTAAAATTCCATTGTGTATAGATACCACATTTTCTTAATCCATTCATCGGTAGTGGGGCATCTTGAGTGTTTCCATAACTTGGCTATTGTGAATAGTGCTGCAATAAACATGGGTGTGCAAGTGCCTATGGAGTCACATTCCTTTGTGTCTATCCCTAGGAGTGGGATTGCTGGATCATATGGCAGATCTATGTTTAGTTTTTTAAGAAGCCTCCATATTGTTTTCGAGAGT